TATATATATAATAAATTCACTGTTCAACAAAGAGTGCATCTACAGGAGACTATAGCAGTAACTCTTCAGTACAGAATTACACTTCACAACATCTCACATTCAGCACTGAATTTATGCATCGTGAGTTATGTAGGTAAAAGTTTAAATTGAACAAATTTTTAATTGCCGATGATCAGAATACACGATTGTTTGTAAATGTACTCGCCCTAGCGAACAGCTTCATAAACATCTCACAAAACAAATGCATGTCGGTGGTTCTCACGTAACGAATTAAAAAGCTAGTTTCATTTATTTTTTCGTGGGGCTTACTGTCGACGCGTGTGGAGATGAGGTTGTATGTAATTGTTATTTTCGTGAACTTCATGACCCTTTGTTGGTAGTAACTCAATATGTAGAGGACGGAGCAGGGTCTAAAGTTCTAGTGGAAGTCTATGCAGATTTATGAAGCAGCAACGGACTGTCTCTTTTAATACAAAAAAAATCAAATCACTCCCGTAGGAGTAATTGGTAGGTGTAAAATTTTGAGTTTCGTAACTGGCGTATCCGATTTTGCAAATTTGAGTTAACAAGATATTTCTGAGACATTCATCTTAAATAAACAGCTTTATGAAGAATTTCGAGAATTGTTTTCAGACAATAAACGGATTTGCAGTGATTTAAAACCTCAAATTCGTATCTCGAACTTTTTTCCTGTCTTCTCCACTTTTACAGTTGAAAAACTATGTGAATCAGAATAAAAATAATAAAGCATTTGACTTAGTGAATACTTCGAAATAATTGACCTATATTGTTATATTTCATAATGTAGAACGACATTAAATGAACAAACAAAATTCGAGATAATTAGGAATTCGAGTTGTCAAAGTACGAGTTATCGAGGTTCTATTCTAATTCATATGTCGTTATTTTCCTTTTTTCTTGGTATTCGAGATACGTAGATTCTAGATACAGAGATTCGAGATGCAAATTCAATATGCGGAGTCAAGATACGGAGATTTGATATACGGCGATTCGTTATACGGAGATTCTAGATACAGAAGTTCGAGATATGGAGGGTGGAGTTATGGAGGTTCGAGAAACGAGGTACTGTGTGAAAAAGCGCTCCGTGCCTGCGCGAGGGCGTGGGGGCTGTTTGGGCGTGGCTGCTCGCCTGGCGCGAGTGTCGGCAGAGAGGCGCTTTGCCTCAAAGTCACCCGGCAGCGGCGGCGGCGGCGGCGGCGGCCGAGGCGCAGGGGACGACGGCGGAGGCGAAGTTTCCCTCCTCGCTGAGCTTCCTTCAGAAATTCCGACAGTCACGCACTTCTTGCGGCGTGGGTGGGGACTCCCGCCTCACGCGACGTGACGCTTTCAAGAGCAACGCCCGCTCCTTTGTCAGTTTCTCCTTGTTGTTACAT